CTCCTAGGTCTGGGGGAGGAGGAGGCTGGGGATCTGGACTCCTAGGTCTGGGGAAGGAGGGGGCTGGGGGCCTGGACTCCCGGGTCTGAGGGAGGAGGGGCTGGGGGCCTGGACTCCCGGTCTCCTGGGTCTGGGGGAGGAGGGGGCCGGGAGTCTGGTCTCCTGGGTCTGGGTGAGGAGGGGCTGGGGGCCTGGACTCCTGGGTCTGAGGGAGGAGGGCCTGGATCCTAGGTCTGGTCCGGGAGCCTCCCCTGGCCCTGACCATCCTTCCCTTCCCCTCCGTCCACCTACAGGGTTGCTTGTCTGCTCCTGAGGCGGCCGTGGTCCTGGGAGGTTTAGTTGAGTCCCCTTCACACTGTGTCTCAGAGGACAGCCCTGATAGTCCCTTGGTGGACTCCCATGACCACCTGGATGTGCTGTGGCAGCAGGACATCGACGCCCTGATGGACCCTGAATCCAGCACCTTGTCCTCTTCCTCCCTCTGCCCGGCCACCTACCCTCCCACCTTCTACCTCTCTGCCCCCTACTCCTCCTTCCCCAGGCACAATGAAAAGGCCAGGCCTCCGGGCAACGTGCAGAGGCTGGGGCCTCCACCCTCCCAGAAGACACCATCGGTCCCTGCCACCTCTTGGAAGGCTCCATTCATCCTTGACCGGTCCCAGAAGGTCTCGGCTGTACGTGCTCCATCCCAAAAGATCTCAACTGTACCTGGCCCATCCCAGAAGGGCCCAGCTGTACCTCCTGCTCCCCGGAAGACTCCAGCTGTACCTGCTGTTCTCAAGAAGGCCCCAGCTGTACCTGCTGCTCCCAAGAAGGCCCCAGCCATACCTGCTCCATCTCAGAAGGCCCCACCTGCATTTGCTGTTCCCCCGAAGGCAGTGTCCCTGCTTGTCCCAAACAGGAAACCTCAGTTCCAATCTACTCCATCCCAGAAGGCTCTGATCCCACATAGCCAACACCAAACGCCTTTGGACCCTGCTAATCATGGCATGTTGCCCATGGGAACTGATGGAGGGCATGTGCTTGAGAGAAGCAAGCCTGAAGGGAAGCCAGAGCCAGTGGTGTTGGTGGGCACCCAGGAGACGAACATGGTAGAGCTGAAGACCCAGAAAACATCCCTGGAGCTGCCCTTCGCCACCACCAAGAAGGAGTCGGAGGAAGTCCTGATCAGCAAAGCCCAGGAGATCACTCTGGACGGCTTGAAGGGCAAGGGCACGTTGGAGGGTCAGGTCCGAAGGAGAAAGGAGGAGATATCCCTGGATATGCCGGGCCTCAAAGCCAAGGAGGTGGGGCAGCAGAAGAAGTGGGTCAAGACCAAGGAGGTGGCCATCAAGGGAGCCCCGCAGGAGCACAGCAGGCCTTTCCCTGTGGAAGGGCTCGCCCTTGCCCAGCTGATGATCTTAGCCAGCTCCAAGGAGCGGCCCTTGACACCAGCTGCGGTTGGCCTGCCCTCCTGGCTCCCGACCCCGCAGGTGTCTGCCGTGTCAGCGATGGGCACGGCGCCCCTCAGCCACAGCCAGGTGTCTTTGCTGGCGGGGACACCAGTGGCCGTCAGGGAGCGGCCCCAGTCGGGTGCCTGGGCGAAAGGGAGCACGCGTCTGCCGGTGGAGGAGACCGCGCCTTGGGCAAAGGGGAGCGCGCCTCCGGGGGCAAAGGGGAGCACACCTCCAGGGGTGAAAGGGATCGTGCCTCCAGGGGCGAAAGGGAGCGCTCATCCGTGGGTGGAGGCGGAGGCGCAGGCGCAGGAGCTGCCTCAAGACCCAAGGGGGCCTTCCAAAGTGCCCCCACGCTCCAAGCGTGCCCCCAGCAGCCCGAAGATGGACAGTGCCTTCCTGGCTCCCATCCCTCTGCCCGCATCAAGGTGGGAGGACATACCCCAGTCGCCCATCTCACTGAGCCCCATCTCAAAGATGGAAGCCAGGGTGTCCCAAGAGCCCCAGAGAGTATCTCAAGAGCCTGCAAGGATGCTGTACCAGTGCCCGGTGGCTACGACCGCGTTATCCTCCGAGATTCTCTTGCCCACACTCTTGAAACTTGAGAATATGAGGAACGTGGCCACCAAGGTGGAGAAGATAAAGGAGGAACTGGGCGCCTTCAATCCTTTGCACAGGTATTTTGGGTGACAGCTAATGTGTACGGTCAACTCTCTTATCCGCAAGGTAGAGGGGATCATTCCCTCTTTTTTCACTATGTTCGTGCCCTCAATATATAGTGAGTGTCGACTATGTGTCAGGCATTGTTCTAGGCCCTCGGGATACAGCATGGAGCAATTTGGTGGGGATGTGCTCCCCCCATCTAGTGACTCCAGGGCTGCTGCTCAACATCCCCAGTGCACAGGACGGTCTCCCACAATGCGCAGGACGGTCCCCCACAGCAAAGAATGATCCCACAGAAATGCTCAGCAGTGTGGACCATTGGGAACACCGACAAATACAAACCAAGTTAATTATATGGTACATTAGAAGGTGATAGTTCTATGGGAAAACAGCAGGGTAGGGGGATTGGGAGTGGAGGTAGGCAGCCTCCAGTATTGGATTGGGAGGTCCAGGAGGACCTCAGTGAGCTGGTGTCATTTATGTAAAGACCCAAAAGAGGGCCGGCCCCGTGGCTTAGCGGTTAAGTGCGCGCACTCCGCTGCTGGCGGCCTGGGTTCGGATCCCGGGTGCGCACCGACGCACCGCTTCTCCGGCCATGCTGAGGCCGCCTCCCACATACAGCAACTAGAAGGTTGTGCAACTATGACATACAACTATCTACTGGGGCTTTGGGGGAAAAAAAATAAATAAATAAATAATTATTTAAAAAAAGACCCAAAAGCGAGGGAGGAAGCCAGGTGGACATCCGGGGAAAATGTACCCCCTGCAGAAGGAACAGCCACTGCGAAGGCCCTAAAGTAGGAGTGTGCGTGATGTGCTGGATCAAGACAGGGGGACCCTGGAGTAGGAAATGCAGTGAGAGGAGTCACGGGGGTGGCGGCCATCACGTGGGACCTTGCAGGTCATTTTAAGGACTTTGGCTTTGACGCTGAGTGAGCTGGAGGGTTCTGAGCAGAACGGTTGGAGCTGAGGTATGATGGCAAGGGCTGTCTCTGGCTGAAGCATAGAGAAGGTAGCAGGGGAAGAACAGAATCCGGGAGATGAGGAGGAGGCCGTTGAAACAGCCAGGCACCAGATATGGTGGTTTGGACAAGAGGGCGGTGACGGAGGTGTTGAGAAGCGACAGGGTTCTGGAGATTACTTTGATGACTGAACCAACAGATTGGCTCACGGATTGGGCATGTTGATGTGGCGTCAAGGGTGATGCAAGGTTTGGGGTCTGAGACCCCGGGAAGATGCAGTGGCCATCGGCAGCAGTCGAGAAGGCTGCGAGTGGGGTAGGGGTCGGGGAGAGGATCAGGAATTCTGTTTTGGACATCTTGATTCTGAGACGTCTGGTGAAGATGTGGGGAAGGCAGCCGGATACGTGAGTCTGGAGTGATTTGGGGAGTCATCGGCACATGGACGGTTACAGCAAGTTAGGTGACTGGAGGAGGTCACCAGCGAGCCAGCGCAGATGGAGACATAGTCCATGGTGTTTAGAAAAAGAGGAACCATAGGCAGAGAGAGAGACTGCAGAAAAGCGAGAGACCGGGACATCCTGAACGCCAAGTGAAGAAAGCAGCCAAGTGAGGAAGCAGCTGTGGCAAATGCTGCAGTCAAGTGGAGGAAGACAGGATTGAGACAGGACCTCTGGTTTTCTCAGCAAGAAGGTGACGTGGTGGGGACGAAGACCTGAGTGGGGCAGGCTTAAAGGGGCACAGAAAGTGGGGAGTCCCTTGCTGCACCCCTTGACAACATCATGCTCAGTGAAAGGAGTCAGATACAGAGGGCCACATGGCGTGTGATTCCGTTTGTATGAAATGTCCGGAACAGGCAAATCCGAAGAGACAGGAAGCAGATTGGCGGTTGCCCGGGGCTGGGGGGCATGGGGGAATGGAGAGTGACTTAATGGGTACCGAGTTTCCTTTTGGGGTAACGAAAGTGTTCTGGAACTAGATAGAGGCGATGGTTGCACAATATTATGAATGTACTTAACGCCGCTGAATTGTACGCTTTAAAATGGTTACAATGGCAATTTTTACGTGATGTGTATTTTCCCACTATATACACACACATCTAGGTAAAGAGGAGAGTGGGAGACCAGCTCTTTCCATGTACTTTGCTGGAAGGGTAGGAGTGACATGCAGAGGTGGCTGGTGTCGGAATTGGGCACAAGAGAGGGCTTCTTAAGAGGAAAGATACTAATGCATGTGGATGTTGGTGTGAAGAATCCCGAATCAGGCTTGACAATAACGAGGCAGGAGGGAGAGAACCTAGGAGGGACACCAGGGGACTGGAGGCGGCGGGTGGTGACCCGGATTCCAGGTCAGGTTTGCCGGGCTCCTGCATGCAGCACGTATGTATGTACCGAGCACGCTCTCCCCGCCGGACCCCAAAGCCCTCTCTGGCTTTCTCTCTGCAGCGCGCACCGTTTTCAGCGCCCTCAATAGCAGGATGCCGGGGGACTCAACCTCAGTCGCCAAAACGTCAGAGGAGCCCAGCGTGGCAGGTAGCTCCTGAGACCCCGCAGGCCCGCCGGAGACCTGGCGCCGGAGTCCAGGAGCCCGGGCCCCACTCCCGCTCTTTCCTCCTCCCCACAGGCCAGGTGCTGTGCGCCTCCGCCGTAAGAAGCAGGTGCTGAGAAGGCCGGGCGGGGGGACGCTCCCTGTCCGGTAGAGACCACAGCTATCTATACATTTATATATTGGGGGGCGGGGCCCAGCTTCGCAGAGATTAAAAGCCTGAGTCTGAGACTCGTCCAAAGTCGCGTCTGGGTGCGTGTGTGCGCCGGACCCGAGAGGGGGGCCGTGGGGCGGGAGCGGGGAGGCGGGAGAGGGGCGGGGGGTCCACACCGACCCCGCCCCGCGACCCAGAGCGCGCCCTGCAGCGCAGCGCTCCCATTGGCTGGGCTTCCAGAGGTCTCAGCCAATCCGGCCGGGCGTCATGATTTTCCTGGGCTGGGACCCCCGAGACTGAGAAGCGAGGGGCGAGCCGCCCGCACAGCTGACCAGGCGCTGCGCCGACATCAGCCTGGTGGGGGCAGGACGGCTGGGAGCAGGGCTGCTTTTGGGGTGGGGGTCAGGAGCTGGGTGAGGGTCGGAGCGAGGGGCGCCCCCTAGGCCCACAGAGCCCCCTCCGTCCCCGCAGGAGCTGCCGCCTCCGTGGATGTTGGATATTGCTTCCCAGAAGCCCCCCAAGGGGCGATGGTCAACGCCGCCCTTCGACCCGCGCTTCCCCAACCAGAACCAGACCCGCAACTGCTACCAGAACTTCCTGGGTGAGACCTGGCGGGCCAGGTTAGGGGGAGCGGGGAGGAGACGAGGGGGATGCCAGAAAGGGCGCGCCCCACCTGAGGAGGGAGAGGGTCCTGGACCCGCCGTGGGGGCGGAGACCGTTGGGGTGGGAGGCGGAGCGGGCCGTGGTCGGGAGGGGCGGGGCTAGCTGGAGGGGCGGGGCCTTGTCTGGAGGAGGCAGGACCGAGTCGTGGAGAGGCGGGGCATGGG